TGCCCTCCGGGCGCCGGCGTGCCGTGTCGGCGTCGGCCCGCCGTCCCAGTGTGTGCGTGAGTGTGACGGCGGCGCCGCTGCGACAGGAGCTGGAGGCGTACATCCACAACCACCCGGCCGAGCGGATCCCCCAGCTGCGGGCGCTGGCCGAGCAGCTGGTGAGCGCCGGCGTGCTCTGCGACGAGGTGCGCGCGGACCGCGACCACATCGTGGACCGGTGGCGACGCTACAGCGACACGGTCAGTGACCGCCGCCGCCGCATGGGGCTCACTGCTGCTTCAGTCGCCTGTGACTAACCCGGCCCGCGGCCTGCGCTGTAGGGTCAGTTTGGGCTTGTCTGGCACTGGGCCGCTGGTGGGACGGCTAATGCGTTTGAAAGTGGCTCGCAGAAGCGCCTTTTGGGTTTAGCTTTGTGAATTTTTGGGGGATATATGCCGTGACGCTTGGTCCTGTCCTGGTTAGGCTCGACACGCGCGTCCAAACCACGCACATGCATGCTGCCACGCGCATGCTCCTCAACGCGCACTACCACTCAGGTGCCCACACTCGGCTGTGTTCGGATGCCGGCTCCGAGCCCTCTGAACGAGTCCGCTGGCAGGCAGTTGCAGTTCGAAGGGACACGCCCCTGCCGAACTTCCCCGTTAACATTTTGAAATGAACGAGTTCGCTGGCAGGCAGTTGCAGTTCGAAGGGACACGCCCCTGCCGAATTTCCCCCGTTAACATTTTGCAATTTTCGAGGGCAATGTCCTGCTGAAGGGAAGGGGACCGTTCGTCTCATGTTCGGTGTCGGTATAATCCGACACAACTAAGTGCTTGACGTACCTCCCGTTTCGCCCTTCCACAACAGTCGTGTCAGCTTCAGACTTGGATGCGGCTCAGTTCGTGCTGGTGACCACACAAGTCTGTAGGTGTCGTGTGGTATACGCGATTTAAAGATACCATGTGCCAACAAGATGCACCTTCGTCTTCACATTCCGACTAAGCATTGATGACAGCGTTCCAACAGTTCAATGAAATGACGAATCTTCAAATCCCATGGACTGCATGTATCATCGAAGTTACAATTTTTTAGATACACATGAATCGTGGACGCACTTGAATCCTATTGACTCCATGCTAAAACTGGTTTCATATTGTGCAGCACATCTTCCCCATACTTAAAATTTTATGGTTTGTTATTTTTGACGCCATATTTTACCCTGCTGAAGATGGTGCCGTGGGAGCGATAATACTGCCACTGTCAGAATATCATGCCTGGCTGAAGCTGTCACAGACGCATTGCACTGCGCACGCCCCACCACACTTGCACAGGCCCTGGCCTGCTACTAACACTCGACTGATGAAGGCAGGAGATATCTGTTAGTTCTCTAAGCCGGCATTTCTTTCTCTTGTACATGGTGCATTCCGTAGAGCCGATTAACCAGCTTATTTCTCCGCGTTCTCGCGGACCGTAGTGTCGCGCTAGCTCTCTGCTGCTCTTCTCTATCGCCTTCCTACACTCCTCTCCGTTTCAGCTCCGATCTCCTGTTCCCCTCCAGCTTGCCCGTCTGTCCCCTCATCCCGTGTTGCTCCAGCCTTCTTCCTCGCGAGCCGTTCTCCCTCCCTGGCACCGTCTGGCCACTACAGCCCTGCTGTCCTGATCCCCCGACCCCCGTGCCGTCCACCCGGCGCCGTCTCCGCGCCTCCGCTCTGTCTGTCGGCCTCCGCGCGGCCGGCGGCGGGGCTCTGGCCGCGCCCGGCTGAGCGGCGTCGCCGCTTCTGGCGTGTCGACAGGCGGCCGAGCGGCGCACGGCGCTGGCCGCCGACCTGGGCGCCGCCCAGCGGCACGAGCTGCAGCTCTCGGAGACGCTGGACTGGCTGGCGGGCACGCGCCGCCTGCTGGCCGCCTGCCCGGCCGGCCCGCTGCCGGACGACCAGGCCGAGGTACCGGCGCGCCCGGCACCCTCCCTCACGCGCGCACACACGCCCACGCCGGCACCGTCGCCGCCCGGACACGCTTCGGGGGCCCCTGTGGGTGTGGGTGTGCGTGTGTGTCCCCTGGTTGGGCGTTTGTGTGGACATAGACATTTCGCTTTAAATAAGCAGCTTGTTAGTGGATGCTGAGGCTTTTGTTGTCGCTGTTGGTTGCTTGATGGTGTATGGGCTTAATCAAGAGATCTATGTACATATGGTGGAATGTTAGTTTTAAGGCAGCGCCGTTTAAGTAACGTACATCTTCATGTGAAGTAAAGCTTTCCATCAAGTGTGATACGACCGATTTAGTGCGATTATTTGCGCTTCTGGTGAAGTTATGTTGTTTGGCACTAATTTTGTGCGATGTTTTGTTTTTGCTTCGTGAGATATTTTTTTGTTAGCTGACGTGTGCTGTTGAAAAGCATGACTGCTCCGGATATTTTATGGACCGCATGCTGTCACACGATCGCCGTCCTTGTTGAAGACCAAGCTGTTCAGACCCACGCTGCTCATCGACCATTCATTGGAAGTCTGTGGAGTGAATGACTTGCCACATCGATTTTGGGTGTTGAGAGGATGACATGTGCTTAAATATGTCTTCAACGGTGGGGCTGTGGAGAACGGTTAGTGTTGCCAAGCCCCTGGAACGGACGTCTTGCAGTGGGGAAATGATAAAATTGTGACGATTTCAGTGAAAGCTAATGTATTATCCCTGCAGCTGTCATGATGTACCCCATCCCATGTCCGTTCCACACGCTGAATATTTCCACGGGTTTCGCCTTCACTGTGGAATCCAAGGCTTCGTATTGCAAATCTAGGGACAGCGTTTTTCGGCTCGGTCAGGTCGAGAAAGAAGTGCAAGGGACAGGACGTTGGACCTCCATCGAGTGGTGTGCGAAACCTTGTACTGGTCTATCCAATGGCCTAATATATCCAGGGTTTATCCAGTGACCTACTTGCGTTAGTTCAAACAATATGGACACAGCAACGAACTGTTTGCGCCTGGGTTTGAGCTGGGCTCTCGCGAAAAGGGCGCTGTCTGCGAGAGCCCAGCCCAAAAAAACCCAGGCGCAAACAGTTTGTTGCCTTGTACAAATTGTTCGAACTAACGCAATTTGGACAGTGCCCGTCTTAGGGCTGGCTCAAGAAATAGTTAATCCGCCTACGTGCTGTCCAAAATAATGTGTTCAGATTCGTCTTACTATGTTTCTTTTTGGACGCAGCCTCGGTTTAAGTTCTAAGCATCTTGGTTGTTGTTCTTTGGGGTTGGGGCGGTGATTTGGCGGGGATCGAAACCCGAGTGCTGTGTGTCCCCAGGATATGCATACCTTGCCCCGCATCTGGTCTTCCCCACCTACCTGTGTGCCTTGCTCAGCTCACTGTGGCACCTCCTGGTGTACTGAGTCTTACTCAGTCACCTCTTCCTTTATCTGACATGGATCCCACTGTGGCACCTGCCATGTGTTCAGGATGTTTCCGCTGAGGTATGGGTACCTCCTCCTGCGTATCCCGTGGGCCAGCTGTGGTACCTCCCATCATTGTCCTGTTGTCCATGCTCCGTTCATGTCCTTTTTATCATTTGAGGCGTTCTTTTTGCCCGTTAGAGGTCAGAGTGCGTGATGCTTTACTACCCTCTGCTTCACCTGGCGTGGACCCGCTGTGGTGCCACTCTGTTCTGGTCTTGAGCGTGTTTTGTCGCCTCCGACCGTGCTCTCCGTGGTCCGACCGCTGTAGGTCTCCCGCACTGCACCTGGGTCTAACTCGCTGCCGCACCCGCTGACCCGCGATCGATCGCGACCCGCTGCGGGTGGGTGATCCAACCACGTGCTGTCCGCCGCTGTACCCGGCCGTGGCACCGCCGCAGGAGCTGTCGGCCGACTTCAGCACGGCCGAGCGGCTGCTGCGCCAGCTGGCCGAGCAGGCGCAGCAGTACCTGGCCGACGGCCGCGCCCCGGCCGCCCGCCGCCTCCAGGACCAGGTGGACGTGCTCCAGGTATGGCGGCAGCGCACCGACCCCCCTCCCCCGGCGCTGGAGCTCCCCCTGTTGACCCGTGTCACTTCCCATCTGGGAATGCTGCGTAGCGACTCTGTCACTGTCGCTAAACTGTGCATCAAAGCTAGTTATACCTACAGGAAGGCGCGCGTGATTCCAGTCGTGATTTGGCTTCAGTGGTGTCTACACGATCCCCACGTGTCGGGGTGCTGAGCGTGTGGGCGCGGGCGTGAGACTGAGGGTGAGGCGCGCCGGTGACGCGGGGACGCCGGTGCTCCGCAGGACACGTACGCCGAGGTGCGCGGCGAGTACGCCCGCTGCCAGCGACCCGAGGACCTGGAGCCGCGACTGACCGCGGTGGCAGAGCGACTGGCTGGCGTCGAGCGTGAGGCGGCCGACGCCGAGCAGGACACGGCCGAGCCGGAGCGGATTCAGCAGCAGATGGACCGCTGCCTGGTGAGGGCTGACGCCGATGGACGCCGGTGCTGGGTAACTGCCGCTCAGTTGCCGCCGAACCGGAGCGGAGGGCGCAAAAGGACCTCAGATGTCGGCGCGCCCTAAAACGCCAATCATCATCAGAACTGGAGCGGATGTAGCGGACAGGCGTAGGATGTAGGACGTAGCGGGCGGATATAGGATGCAAGATGTAGCGGACCGGTGTAGGATGTAGGATTAGGCAGACGGATCGGTTTATCGGCCGCCCCCTAAGATGTCACATAAGCGTTCTGATACAGGCACGGGGTGTCATGGTCGGTGTGATCTCGCCTTGTCTTCACCTTGGAACCTGTGGGTAGTTTTGCACCGATGTGGACTGCAGCGGCAGGGGCGCGACCAGCGCGTGCGGCGGCGTTGTTTGGTGACGGGCCGTCCCCGCACCGTTCCCGGCTGAGCGGTGTGACTGTACCGGCAGCACCTGTACCAGCTGCTGAGCGAGCTGAAGCCTGAGGTGGAGTACGTGATCCGTACCGGTCGCAAGGCCGTGGAAGACACCGCCTGGGACCAGCCTGAGCAGCTCACCGCCAGGCTGGACCGGCTCAAGGCCCTGTACAACCAGGTACGGCCGCCGGCCGAGCGAGGGCGGCGTGGGCGCGGCCGACCGACGGCTCCCGCCCAGTGGTAACGGCCCGCGGGGCAGGGGGACGGTGGCTGAGGGAGAGGTCACGGTCAGCTCCGTCCCTCTCCGACGTGTTTCGATGAAATGTCAACGCGCCCGCTGCCTGTGTGGTGCCGTTGAGTGAAATGGATGTTGCGTTGGCGTGAGTCTATCAGGCGCGTTGTCTGATGACGCCCTTCCCGGCGGCAGCTCGGGTGCCGTATCCCGGAGGCCAAGTCGGGCCTGGAGTGGCGGCTGCGCGCGGCGCAGCGGCTGCCGCCGCTCGAGCAGTGGCTGACCGAGGCGGCCGACGAGCTGGCGGCCTGCGAGGCGCGCGGCGAGCGCTGCCGCTGGCCCGAGGAGGCGGCCACCTGCCGCCGGCTGGCCGAGGAGGCGACGCGCCGACAGGCGGCGCTGGCCGCGCTCGGGCCGCCTGACGCGGCGGCGCCGGACGGCTCGGAGCTGCGTCGCCGCCTGGACCGCGTGCGCGCCGACTGGAGGAGCCTGCAGGGCAGGCTGGCCAGCCGCACCCGACACGTGCAGGTGAGCCAGCGTCGCCCCCACCTCCTGCTGCTCACAGCCGGGCTACTCGTGTCACCCGCCGTCGCCCCCTCCCCCCGCCTTACCGCTTGCTGCTCACAGCGGGCTACCTGTTTCAGCCGCCATTACCCCCCCCCCCCCCCTCCTTCGCCTGCCGCTCGCAGCTGGGCTGCCTGTATCAGTCGTTGTCACCCCCCCCCCCCTCCCCCCTCCGCCCTCCTCCGCCTGCCGTTCGCAGCCTGGCTGCTTGTGTCAGCTACCGCCACCCCCCCTTCCCCCCCTTCCGTCTGCTGCTGCTCACAGTATGAAGGTGACAACGGAATGGACATCGCCTCCGAAGCCGAGTGTTGTCTGGCGCACGTTTGGATTAGTGGATATCGCCTTTCTGGCGTGTTTGCCCTTGTTTTCTTGTGTGTGGTGATTAATGGACATTGCCTTTATTTTCGCGAGATTCGACGGCCTAATGAGTATGCTATTGGCATGCCATTAATCTGGGCTAAGCTCATTATCGTATTTGGGATGATCGTTGTGTACAAATCGCACTGCGATTAATTTGGTTATTTGCACTTCCCTAACCTCGGTCTTGAATTTGAGTGCCGGCTTGCCGCGTGCCGCCGTAACCCGCCGAGTAGGTGTCGTTTCACCTGACCGCTCGTGGTGTGACTCTCGTAGGAGACGGTGCTCAGTGTAACCTGTCATGATGCCCACATGACATGTTGAAATTAACTGTCCTTTTCAGGAGAAAAAAGCTGAGAGTGAAGCCCAACTGTCCGATTTCGAGGCTGATTTGAACGACTTAGAAAAATGGTTACAACATGCCGACAAGGACACCGAAAGTGATGAGAAAGTTGAGGTACGAAGCTCGTTTTACGCTCGTGACGTTCCAAGGAATTGGCATTCGCTTCAGGCGTCAGCAAACATTTACTTTGCTTTTACGTTGCTCTCTGTCGCTTAAGTCCACATTCGGGCCCAGAGGTTTGGACTTGCTTGTAGATGCCTGGAGTTATGGGGCGGAGAACCTTTGTTACATTCACCTATGAGACTGCAACCGAATCTGGTGGTCGTCAAGTACTTTTCTCGCCGTCGGTGCACGCATCGGGGATAGTTGAATTATGCAAATGGATTTAATTGCACAACTTAACGTTGTAGGAAGTGACTAGACACCTTAAACATTTAGAGAGCCGCGACTCGTAGAAGCGTTATATCCCTGTCTCAAGAGGTGCTGACGTGCCATACACTAGCTCAGGCTCAGGCTCGGGCTCATGGGCCAGAAGATTTGTTTGTGGGACGGCGAATGGATTTATTATACACGAGCCAAATAGATGACGTCATTGGACACTGGTGGATTTGCAGTACGGAAGATTTCATACGTAAACATTCCGTTCCGCCCCGTTTGTCCACACTAGACGGATGCGTTTTGCAACCACGGATGTATGAAGTGGTGTGTACACACTGTGCTACCGTTATATTTTGTGGCAGGTATTTTCGTTGACAAACGTCAGTCCACTCAGCTCCGATCGCTGCCGTGCTGTCAATCCTTGTGTCAATTTACTGTCTCTTAGAGTGCCGTCGCGACCTGTGGCGTGACCTGTGCCTTGACCTGTGCCATGACGTGTGCGTTGACCTGTGCGGTGACCTGTGCCGTGACCTGTGTGCCGTCTGCCGGTCTCAGGAGCTGGAGCGCCAGCTGCCGGAGCGTCAGTCTCAGCTGGCGGCGGCGCGCCAGACGGCCGCCCAGCTGGCGCTGACGCAGTGCGAGCAGAGCGTCTCCTCCATGATGTCCGAGCTGAACGCCCGCTGGCTGCAGGTGCACGACAAGGTGCAGGTAGGTCCCGGCCCGGTCCGGCCCGGCGCGGCGCGCGGGCCTGCGCCGCCGCTGAAGTGGTCCGGCCATGGGACGTCGTGGTGGGACCCATCATACGCTGCCGCGCCACACACAGAGTGAAACGCGTCCACAAGAACGCACCTGATCCATACCGGCAGTCATGGCACGGACCAATGCACTGCCATGCCCATCTCGCAGTTAACTTCGCGGTTAGTAATCAGCCCAGATCTGGCAGCTGTGCGGAAGCCGTGGCGAAATCTGCCAGACACGACTTGCGCCAGCTGCGCGATTCCTGCCGGTTACGCTCAGTGTGGGTGTGGACGGGAAACACGGGCATTGACTCTTGCGGGGATTGGCCTTGTTCCTATGCGGCTGTTGCAGTCGGAGTTCATGTGAAACTGTATCAGGGTGCTGTGGTATCGCGAAGGAGATCCGACCGAACAGAGTTAGGTGCACTGAAGCGATTACTTGGTGTAACCGTTGACGGCTTGTAGGTGTTTTTAGCGGCTCAGTCTTGAGATCCAAATCGGAGGGACGTTGCGTTAGATGTAACACCAGTAACAGGAACACACCCTGAATTGCAAACTGTAAAGTTTTTGCCAGAGACAGCCTCGTGTTGCTTTTTGTGGATCGGGTTTGGTTTTGGTATCGGTCTGGATGTAAGTAAACTGATAGTTACTTTGCCCAGAATTACTTGGAAAAGGTGATCCATTCCTTGCAATGTACCATTATTACGTAATCAGAGCCACATCTGATTGCGGGCACCTGAACCTTCTGAGACCAGAGCTCACACAAACAGGGCGAGTTGTTTGGGTCTGACCCCCACTACCCGAGTGGTCCTGCTAATGAGAACCCTTCAGTCTCGGCCTAGGACGTACTGTCATGGAGGCATCAACAATACGTGTGCAGGCCACAACACGCGATATTATTCACGTGATATAAGCATAGCAACAAGACAACAAAAATAAGTTGTGAACAAAGGCATCAGAATAACAGTCGGGTTGTTAGTCATGATGATTGCCGATAACGGACGTTTATCCGGACATTAAATGGGCGCAGCCTCCGCCTTCACAAGAGGTTTTCCGTTCTAGACACGGCAAGGACGGTTCGGACTTTGAGACTTTGCCGGCGCTCACTGGCAAGCCAATGTTTGTGTTGACTTTGGGCTCAGCTGGTGCGGGGTCATGAGGCCGCCTTGGAGAGAGTTCGGCCTCACTTGTCATGCTCCGACATCATGATGCAGGCCGGGCTTTTGCAGATGCTGCCGACCGCCCTTCACGGGTGACCTGTAAACTGGCTCTGTTATTAGCGTTGCGGGTTGTTACTGTACCGGACCATGATATAGCACAGTGTGTTATTAGGTTTTTAAGTGACAAGCTCATATCCCTGCTGTTGTTTTTTCGCCCTAAACTCATACGACCAAAAAACTTAAATCGATGATAAATTGCCGAGCAAACAGGTACTAATGTTACCCATAAATATAATCGCCCGTTTTACATTCTTGGTGCGCAATAGCAAAAGCTTCAGAATGACCGTTCTGGAATGAGACAATATTGTGATAATTTATTGGGTGTACCGGGCCCCAGAACATGCTTCAACCGCCCCAACGTCTACCGCTACGGCGAAACTACCTTTGGGAAGACAGAACACGCTCTTTCTCTCTCTCTCTCTCTCGGACCCGCTCCATAACATGTTTTTCTCTGGGACCTGCCCCAGAACACGCTCTCTCTCGGACCCGCTCCATAACATGCTTTTCTTTGGGACCCGCCCCAGAACACGCTCTCTCTCGGACCCGCTCCATAACATGCTTTTTCTTTGGGACTCGCCCCAGGACTTGCTTTGCTTGGACATGCTTTGGGAGCCGCGAAAAGAGGCGTCAAAATCGCACACTTTCTGAAAATGGAACGTTCTTCAAATTTCAAACATTCTGGTATGGTTCTGGAAAAATAGCCAAAAAGGTCGAGGGATAGGCTGAGGCATAGATCCGCATGCGTGGGCAGTGTTAAGAATTCAAACTGGCTGGTGACATCATTTAACTACAAATGTTAACAGACCCAATTGGAAGTGAAGGTGACGAATGGCACAACACCGAGATTACACCAACGCGCCGCTTGTCGACATCATGCAGCTGCCACATCATGGTGGCTCAGTACTAAAACAGCTCCAAAAATCATGACAACCACCACGTCCTGCGTCGCCACTTTGGTCAAGGAATAAGATAGTATTATTAAAGAACCAATTAAAAAGTGACCTCGCGGCGGCATGATCTGATAAATTTAGCGAAGTGGCATATGTATCGCATTCGTGACATGCTTTTGGTTACATCAGCGATCGAAATGTCATTCAGTCTATAAAAGGAGTAAACAATGCTCGACTCCTCTCGGTAGAGCAGGCTGCTGAATATGGCTAAATCATCACATGACTTGTTTGCATAAGTGTTTTCGATGTGTGGTTCATTGTTATGATTGAGAGACAAACAGTCCATGCCATTGCGCCGGCGCGGTCCGTTGTTGTATTTGCCCTGAAGTTGACGTGTCTCTGGGAGCACCGCTGAAATGTCCGGGGCTGCCGTCACGCCCTGCTTTCCGGCCGGTGACGTCAGCGGGGGCTGGTGTCATCAGCAGCCCCGCACCGGGACCAGCCGGCTCTGGGCTTTGTGATCAGCGTCGGCTCCGGGCTTGTCGTGGAGCGTGTGGCTGGGCGGCTCTTGGTCTGCGGTCTGTGGCGTCGCCCGCGGGAGGGCGGCCTGGTGCGGGCTTGGTGCTTCCTTGTGTGCTGTCGGCTGGTCGGGCAGTCTGGTGGTCGCTGGAGTAGCGACCTACTGGGCTTCATGTTGCATCCACAGAGGCTTCTGGTTATCCTCGGCAGAGAAAAGGTGCTTTGAACATGCAGCCTGCGCACCAATGCTGCACTGTTCTTCCGACGCCGCTGTCACGAATGTCTTCTTATCATTTTCACACTAGTAAAACATAAGATGAGATGTCGAAGGCTTGCGAAGCGGAAGGAGATCGTCCTTTTTGAAGTAACTTAATTTATTTGATTAATTAATTGGGTTTCACCGACCTGAACACCGTTCCACTGTGAGCAGCTCTGGATGTGTCGCCAGGAAATCATAATCCGGATAGACATATCGTAGTGCAATGCGATGCGGGATGTTCATTTAGAAGGGTTCTTTCGAATCCTTTTCTTCGCTCTCCTAGCCCTTAAATCTCGCAGCTTCGCTTCCCCGTCGCTCCCCTCCCCCACCTCTTCCCCCGCCGGGCTCTCCACCGGCCCCTTGTAGCCTCGTTCTCAGCCTCTTGCCCTGCCTTCGCGCCCAGTCGTCGCCCGCTGCCCGCGCGTGATTACTTTTAATTCGTGGTACGTGACGCCCATGCCCGATGCGCCTTGGCCGTCCGGTGCGGTGAGTTACGCCTCGCGGCCCGGTGAGGTCGGCGTAATTGGACGGCAGCCGGGGCGGCGTCGCGGCCGGCGGCAGTGTGCCGGCTGCAGGGGCCGCCCTCCGCCGTCGGCGACTGGCCTCCGCCGTGCTCTGACTCACGGCCGCCGCTGGACAGTGCAGCGTCGTGCAGCGGCGCGGCCGGCCGACGCGCGGCAGCGGCGCGCGCGCCACGCGGACGGCTGCTAATTGAGCGTCGCGACGCTGACGCGGCCACCGGCGCGCCCCGCCCCGTCCCGGCCTGCGAGCAGCGGGCGCCGCGGACGGCAGACGCCGCCAGTGTCGCGCCAGTGTCGAGGGGACGCGCCCGGCCGCGGCGTCGGCGCGACGCCCGGAGCGGTGAACGCTCCGCCCCGCCTCCTCCGAGTGTGCAGCAGTGACGGCCGGCGTCCTCGTGAGGTCAGCGGACAGCCGGGCCGTGGCGCGCCCGGTCGGCC